GGATAGCACCTAAAATGCCATCTATATATGACGCACCGCTCCATTTTTGGTGCGTCAATACATCTACACCTAGCTCTTTTTCTCTTCTCTGAATCAAGTTTACATATGCGAGCATACCATCATCCTTGAATGCCTTTGACAATTCGCTGGTGATTGTTGCCGTAGAATGAAGACCGGCGAGCGAGATTAATTGTAAGACGAATCCATGCTTCGCAATATCCCAAATGAAAGATTTCAGAGTTTCGTCAGTGAAACCATGACCCATCCAGTTAAATGAGGGAGAAAGATTGTAGACTAACCCTTTACCAGGGTACTTGGCACGAATCTCGCCGGAGAATTGTGCTGCATTTTTGACGTTAGGGTCTCCGGTCTCAACCCACAAGAGGTCGGCATATGGTGCATATTGAATCGCTCGCTTTGTGGCAGCTTCCATACCAGCCTTATAATGATAGAAACCTTCTCGTGTTCGAGGGATATCTATATTGAAAATTATTGGGGCTTTGCTGTATTTTGTAGCCAAATCCTTTCGTTTCGTGATCGACATATCCCGATCTTGCTTAGTAGCTTCAAGGTACTCGTTGATACTCGACTCCGAGACACCTTGTTCCTTCAATTGCTTGACAACGGCTTCGTCACACGTCATGAGTTCCGTTTTCTTCACCCATTCCGCTTCAAAAGCATCAATCTCAGCGCCTGTAGCTCCTGCCAATTCCATGGCTTGCAAAGTCTCCGCCAATGACTCGATACCGTCTTCTGCGACGCCTTTGATGAATTCATGGTCTCGCACATCAATCGCACTGCTGAGAAGCTTTCCGCTTTCGGAGTCTGTTCGTGCAATTACTAAGTTTTCCGACCCCATAACATCCCATTGGAATCTCGCAGCCACCAGGCGATTAATGTGTTCTCCGACCGGCACTAAAACTTTGCCAGCAAGATGTCCGCACTTCTTTCCACCATGCATTTGATCCTCAAAGTGTACAGCGGCAGCTCCATTCTCTGCGAAAAGCTTGGCAAGCTTCAAAACAGCCGAAAGTCCGCCATGCCCTGTGTCTCCGTCTGCGATAATGGGCCTGAGATAGTCGGTATATGGTGTCTTTGCCCGTTCTTCCTTACTTAACTTTCTTCTAGCATCCCATTGTTTTCGATCGTGCATTGACTGCGCTTTTGCCAACCGTTGGACTTGATTTGGTACGGTATTGTAAGGGTAATCGCCGAAATCTGGAGATACCTCATTCGTGGTCGTAAGCACAGAAGAACATGCCCATCCCGAGATATACAGGACTTCCTGGTTCGCAGCTTGTTGGGTCATTTGTACAGGATCAATAGCACCCACTATTAATCAATTGAATTAGTTTATGTCTTCCAAGCTCCGAGCCTCATGATTCATCTTACTTGTATGTATTGGTTTTCCATTTGCCTCCCGCTCTTTAATTAAATTGAATAATTTCCTAGCCATGACGGAGCTTGGGTATGATTGCTGCTGACTCCCACGTTTTGAGACAACATCTGCCGCAGAATATGGTCTCTTGATTCCTTCATATCTTGGACTATTCCACCATGCTTCCACTTCCTTTATTTGTTGTTCGTATAATTCGTCTTCAGCCGCGCCAGCTTTCTGCGATTCCGGTACGAGCTGGAATGAATCCGATGCTAGAGGTCTTGATATTGGGTCACTGAGAGCTTTCAAGCTGGACATCCTAATACCAGAGGTAGACAAATGATGAACAGTAATGATTGAACTTCTAGCAGACAAAGCTCTGCGGGGCGCCACAGAAGCAATTCTGCGAAACATTTTGAGATGCTCTATTAGAAATGGGTGATTTTCAACAAAGCAATAACTTATACCAACTCTTACCTATGCCGCTGATTAATCAGGAACCATTCATGCTACACCGTCATCGGGATGCAGTTTGGTTGTATTTTCGGTTTCGTTCGGTTGTTTATTTGATGATCAATCGATGTGGCCGAGATACGTAATTATAGTTTCACCCCTGGTGTGATATAAACAAAGCACATGTCCATGTAAATGCCGGTCGGACCATTTACCCGCCTGATAGATCCAGACCACCAGATTTATTAGTTACAGTCGATAGAATACGATTCGTCAATGATGTCTTGTCCTAATGTGCTCCGTTTATCCTCGGCATAACCTACCGATGATCTGGAGTGTATTATCCAACATCATCCCATATATCTTTCTTAGGTTCTTGGTAGTACTTTGGTTTCATTTCACATCTACCACAATCAATCGTTGAGACGTTTTTCCAATGTGAGTTGAATAGGAATTGTTTATCGCTTGTTCAATTACTGACCATTCAAGTGATATCCAGCATCTGAATTGGGTTTACCCCGCGAATCTGCCCCACGATTTACCCCATCCGAGCTCCACAAACAAAATATACATCCGACGTTATGGCGATGAACGGCAGAACTGCGTCGCAGGCTTTCAGATCTTTGCGAGTATGGCTTCCACTTCCGACTTGATACATCATGCTAACACTGATTTTCTAATAGCCTGCCGGTGTTCGTACTTTCGCCCTCCCAGCCCATCGAAATTATGCTACATCGTCCGAGCCAGATCTCAAAACTACCTTCAAGGAGTGCATTCCTGCGAAGCGTGAGTTGTTGAAGAAGGTCAAGGCAAATGGCAGTAAAGTTATTGGCGAAGTTAAAATCGAGAACACAATTGGTGGAATGAGGTACGATAGATTCCTACGACATGGCATAAACGACACTAACGATATAATAGAGGATTGAAAGCCATGGTATGGGAAGGATCAGTTTTGGATGCCAATGAAGGAATTAGATTCCATGGCAGAACTATCAAGGACTGTCAGAAAGAGCTTCCAAAGGGAACAAGCGGAACCGAGATGCTTCCAGAAGCTATGTTTTGGCTGCTTTTGACCGGACAGGTCCCTTCTACATCCCAAGTCAGACAATTCTCCAAGGAATTGGCAGAACAAGCGGCACTTCCGGACTTCGTCAACAAAATGCTTGACAACTTCCCAAAGGACCTACATCCAATGACTCAATTCGCTATTGCTGTTTCAGCACTCTCCCACACATCAAAATTTGCCAAGGCATATGAGAAGGGAGTCAACAAAGCAGATTACTGGGAGCCAACTTTCGACGATAGCATATCTCTTTTGGCAAAACTTCCAGTCATTGCTGCCAAGATTTACCAAAACTCCTACAGAGGTGGTGGAGCTCTCCCTGCTCAGGTTGATCTGGAACAAGATTGGTCCTACAATTTTGCAGCCATGCTCGGTAAGGGAGGCAAGGAGAATGAGAACTTCCAAGACTTACTGAGATTATACTTGGCTCTTCATGGTGATCATGAAGGTGGAAATGTTTCAGCACATACCACTCATTTGGTCGGAAGTGCTTTGAGTGATCCCTTCTTAAGTTACAGTGCTGGTCTACAAGGTCTTGCTGGACCACTTCACGGGTATGTAGTCAAATCGTTTCGGTTAAGCCGCAATTACTAACTGCTCTTAGTCTGGCCGCTCAAGAAGTTCTTAGATGGATTTTACAAATGCAAGAGCATGTTGGAACCAAATTCACCGACAAAGACGTATCCGACTATCTCTGGTCGACTCTCAACTCGGGTCGAGTTGTTCCAGGTTATGGTCATGCTGTTCTTCGGAAACCAGATCCCCGTTTCGAAGCTCTCATGGACTATGCCTCTTCTAGACCAGAGATTGCTAAAGATCCCGTCTTCCAACTTGTGAAGAAGAACTCTGAAATAGCTCCAGACGTCTTGATGAAGCACGGAAAGACGAAAAATCCGTATCCGAACGTAGATTCTTCATCCGGTGTTTTATTCCATCATTATGGTTTCCATGAGACACTTTACTATACAGCGACTTTTGGCGTTAGTAGAGGGTTGGGACCTTTGGCACAATTGATCTGGGATAGAGCGTTGGGATTGCCAATTGAGAGGCCTAAGAGTATTAATTTGGAGGGATTATTGAAATTAGCAGAATAGATCTGGCCTAGAGAAAAGTTTCAGGGAATGTACAACACATATGATTTCAATGAATTAATGATTGATTTTCTAGAGATCGTGCGCACTTGTTTGCGGCGACTGATGCTTGAATAACTTGTTAGGTGAGGGCAAAATGCAACTCGAATTCTCAATCGTGCAGAAGACCGACAAACTTATAAGTTAGTCCGTTATTGTTGTTAGTGTTCAAATGGGATTCGCATTTTATACAGAGATATCAATGCGAACAAGACCAAAGCGCAAGTCAGCCGAAAAGTACTACACAACTGATCCCGTGTGTCATCAGATATAAACGTTGCAGGGGAGTTTGAGATCAATCTAAATATTCTCAGCTCTCAATGTTATTTGGTAGTATTAGTTTCCCTAATCTAAAGCATTCATGAGCATCAAGCGGACGTAGTTCCTTCAAGATTCGTTGAGCCATGCAAGCAAATCTCGCTTCTACTACTTGTAGTCGCCTGAGCGCGCCCTTAAAAGCATTTAAGCGCAGCACGAGAGCATACTTCAACGGTAACATGTGCGCTGTGGGTTCAGGGGTTCATGAGAAGATGTCCGCTATGTGGGTTCAATTCCCACCGATTTCCCCGTTTCAGAGCCTGCCTAGTGCTACGAAATGAAGTCCGTAATCATAGAAGACTGCGATGAGACTCTGTGGGTAACGATTCTCAGTGGGTAACTGTCCATCGGACTCTTCTTGTATTCTTTTTTTCTTTCTTTTGAAATTATTTTTTGCTACAATTCACTGGCGGGTCCACAATTTTGTATTGTGTCTGTATCTGCGCTCGTGTTATAAATTCTAAAATAGTACGGCACGCCGCCTCTCAGAACCGTACTGCATGTTCTTACTAGCTCTTTTTTATATATTGGACATATTTTCAAGCCCCAACATTACATAAAAAAAAATCTCAATCTCACTTCCTCTACTACGTCACAAAACACATCCTATCATTTTCAAAAGCAGACCAAACTTTATATTGAAGAAGAAACAACCCCAATGTCACCTTCACGACATACAGGAACTGCTCTGGCTGCGGCTGGGGACAAGGGTGAGCCGTCTCCTCATTTTCGCTGTCAAAACATGCTCCCAAACCACAACATGCTCCAAGCTAATCAATGATAACTATAGTACAGAGGGCAGGCAAGAGACTTACACGCGGTAAGCAAATTAGCGGAGGTAAGAATCATTCTTCTCCCATCCAAAAAGAATTTATCGATAGCTAAATCGTTCCTTGTCAAAGATCAAGCTGTCAAAATCCGAAAACTACGTTTGCAGCGCCTTCAAAGAATTAAAAAGCGACAAGCTGACCATACGATCACAAAAACGCTAAATAAGTTAAGCCTAAATCCAACTATTGAGAAGAAAAGAGAAGGCACAATCAAGCAGCGAAGCTAGAAGCTTATTAAAGTTAATCAAAGGTGGATGTGAATCTGGAGCAAGAAAAAGTTACCACTTAGCGTAAATAGGGAGGATTGGGAGGAGATATGGACCAGGTCCCAGCGCAAAGGGCAGGCATTAATCCATAATTGATCTTCACATTATGCAAAGCGAGGATCAGAGCTGAGAGGCTCCACGCGCTCAAACCTACACCTCCATGGATGCATTTAGTTGATTTCATCTTGCATTTACACATCAAAAATGCAGCCGAACATAGTTTATTAAACCACAACTGCAATGCAAACCCCTGATACTGAGGTCAATAACACCCTTCAAAAACTCTGAGGCTCCATAATTTCATCGTAAATTTTCTTGTGGTAAACGACCACTGCTTCAATTTCATCTTGACTCTTAGAAATGAGGAATATTATACTAAAATATAGCTCTTAGATCAATGACGTCATTGAGACGCAGAGCGAGGAGGGAGACTAAATCTAGAGAACAGGAAGCTCTTGCTTAAAGCTCCTTACACGCGGGTGACAGAATGATTGTTAAATTAGATACATGGATAGCAAAACATTCACTTCAGCGGAGACTAGGTGAAGGCAAAACGGCATAGATCCACTCAATGCCAACTAATGAAATAATTGGACAAAGTTGGAAGAACTACTTAAGACGTTAAGAAAGCAGGATACTCATTTGACTACGCGCAGGATATCGATACTTAGGAGTCGGTAGAATGACAACACATGCCAGAATTTCAGCCTCTTCTTTCCGACCGCTTTACCTGGATTTTTCTTGAAACGCCGGCAGGGGAATTTACCTTCGATCCACTTTGGAATTGAGAAACACTAGGCTCACAAGAACTGTGAAGAAGAAAGGCAATCGTAAGAATTGCTGATATGGTGCATCATGATCCAGAACTATGTATCCGCGAAGTGAGCTTATATTCTCGGGTGAGGTGTTTTCTTATTGATATTATGACATCAAATAGGCTCGGACTTTGCTCCCTTTTCTTCTGTGCTTGGTTCAATGATAAAGCAAGGAGCTTGAACAAAAGTCAATTCAATAATGTCATTGCGAAGGAGAATGGTTATTCAAAAATCTAGATGTACATCAACGTACTGGTGATCGCGATAATAGAAGTAACGACATTATTAGCCCTTAACAAAAAGTTATCCCGAAAGAAATTAGGTTCTTCAACAATCAAATCTACAAAAAGTTTTCACTCTTATTTCTCCGAGATACCATCAGCATTTGTCACGTTTAATCAAGGTTAAAGTGGATTGTCAATTTTAGAAATTAGGGGAGTACTGGCCTCAAGTGTATTAGGATTGTCTATTCCTACACACAGCTGGCTCTTCAGATAGAGTGCAACATTGACAATTAGGGCCTATTATCGTAGGTACTACGTCATCTATACTCTTCTCAAACCTGTAAATAGGGTCTAAGTTTCTCTTTACGAAATGGTGTAGTACTAAAGTAGATATCGTATGAGTTTTATAGAATTACATAAAACTGATCTTAAAGCTTAAGAATCTCATTAGTGACCCGCTTATATATTAGACATAGATTAAAACCAGCGGAAAAGATTAATCAATTATCGATGAATCATATGATTATAATAAAGCTTTCTGATACTTACTCCTTTGTGTATATACATCAAATATATAATGTATTAAATATTGACTAATTTCAAGATTCCGAGATTGATTTCATAATATTTCTATCTTGAAGAGATAATAGCCGATATGTGATTCAGCGTTGGAGAAAAAACAAGGGCATTAAACTCAATCCTGGTTAGTGGAATGTAACTATCTACGTACCTAGGTATAATTAGTATAATAGAGTATCTTCTAAAGTCAATTGAAGGTATCCTCTAGAGGTTCACGTCATGAACGACTTATAAATTGAGAAATAGTACCCAGACTCAAGATTAATAAATCAAACATGTCCTGTGAAAAAGATGGGGAGAGAGGATATTTAAAGGGGGAAATCTTGATCGCATTTGTTGCGTATAGTGAGAATCAGATTAAGTCAAGCATAGTTGAAAATTCACTTGTATAGGGAATTGTGAAGGGCAATTGATGTAGGCCCACTCTTCTTCTTACTACCACCTGCAAAAATCTAATTAGCAAGTCAAATATCAAATCCTGTTAGGAATTTTTCGAAGGGTATGATACCATGGTGACAAGTAAGTGACTTTCGCATCACTAAGCATCACATCCATCCATTTCTGGCTAACTCGAGTTGAACATCAGTTAAACATCTTCATAAGATTCTTCCTTCGCCTCAGCGGAAGGCTTTCTTCCTACCATGATGGATTCTTAACTTGAGTCTCCATCTTTACATTGAAATAGTCATGCACTGTTGTAATTTCCCCTTCTATGGTTTGTCTTGGGTCACAAGTATGTGCATATGACGCGAACGTATACCTATATGACATGATGTCGTTGTTACCGTTATGAAATCTAGTTATTACAAGGTTCGCTCGATCCTTATACCTTCAATGCTTTCTTTGGACTAGAGTAATGCATGCCAAAAAAGATCTGGGGCCATTTTTGTAATGGAATACATGTTTTTGTAAAAGTTACTTGCCAGAAAAAGCTACGTGCAATTCAAAATGCAATAGAATAGCTGATGTGCGGTTATCCTAACCAGAGAAAAAAATTCAAAGAAACAAAATGCAAAAGAACTTTCACTCTTAGATCTCCAGATCACCAACAGCAGTTGTCACGCTTACACGTAGAAGCTGGTTCTTCAATTCCAAGGAATTGTAGGGGTTCAAACCCTCGCGTTCGGAGCATGACATAATCCTCGGACCCACTTTGCCTTGACCCTCTAATCAGTAAAGCTGTCATCTCAATTAGGTCGAATGCGCTTGTGATTTTCGATACAAATATATTATTATATATCTATTCAATAAAAAATGATTATAGCTGTATACTTAGATATATTCTAACTATTATTATAAACACAGGATTTTCATTTTTGCTTTTCTAATTTACTATATCATATTCCAAAAATAATATAACTCGGTAGGTTATTCAAGGTATTATAAACTAGATGTGTCTAAATAATATAAACTACAGAAGACTAACCAGGTTGAAGAGATTGCAGATGCTCAACGGGAGAAACAATATTAAGAGCCAGCTGATGTTACGCGATGAAATCTTCGATCGTTTATTTAATATTAAAAGACCGGACTAATGATATAGACTATAAACTAGGCAGAAAACTGTTATCACATCCCTATTCTATGCTATACATACAACAGAAAAGAACCGTCGTAAATTCAAGCGGCTGTATTGATGTCCGATTAGCATTGGCCCTGAGTGGCTAAGCGAATGCAAGGTGTGAAACCGATGACTAAGCCGTCTAATCCATCCTCGTAACATCTTGAAAGAAGATACGAATTAGAAGATCTAATGATATTCAGACTCAAAAAAACAAGACAGATAGATGTATAAATAGATGGGCAGTTGAGATATTGAGTGTTTCATAACTTATTGATCGAATTACTTACCATATATTCTTATTGATCACTTAGCGAGATTGAGAGCATTCGACACTCTAGCTTTAGCAAAACTGGCAATTTATAGGTAAAACTATGATTTCTGAGAAGAGCTACTAGACTTTGAGCTTGTTTATACGAGATGACGTGGTACTAAAGCATGAATCACAGAACAATAAGCTTGCTGGCGTTATTACGGGTGCTCAGAGAATTGAGTTCGAGGTCATTGTAAGAAAGTTAAGGAATTCGAATATAAAGAGCATAAGGACGATAGTTGCCATTGTTCTTGTATTGGTAGCCACTATGTAGTTATTATTTGCCAGACATTTGAGAGTGTAATATTTGGATTCCACATTTGTTACGCTGAATCTACTTGAATCGTCTGTGAAGGTGTAGATGCAAGTCCAAAAGAATTCTTTTTGTTTACTTTCTCAAATGAGTTGGTTTGTTCAGACCATACCGATATCTTAGTCTTAATAACTAAAGTTTTTTTTCGTATATATCACTAATGATCTCGATTGAGATCCATCTTATTCGGTTCTACTTACATCACAGCGTAGTGGTTACTTTTGCTCTCTTCTCTGAAGCATTTATTTAGCACACCATCATAATCTTTCTATGGGTAAGGGAGAACCCTTATTACTCTTCTAAGACTCATTTTTGAGAAAATGATTACCGGATAAATACTAGATTCTGGATATAGTGCATTTGGTTCAAAAAATACTGTCCTCTAGGGAAAAGCGTGACATATTAACAAATTGCATAACCTCTGTTGAGAATTGAGCCGATATCATCTCATTATCATATAATTCGATAAATGTTCCCAAAAGATAAACAAAAAACATTGTTTACAAGGCGCGTCAAAAAATAATTCACGCGTTCTGATTGACGTGACAAGATTTGTTGATTTAGTGAGTTCTTTTCGGTACAGCGTCCTATATCTCGAACTCGCCCGTTCTTTCCCGCGATACGAACTCTTAACTCCTACAACCTCACCAAAAATCACCACTTTACCATCCCACACCCCCGAACTACACACAAAATTTACAACACAACGCAATATAATCATGGGCTATCCCGGGAAAGAACGACAGCAGCAGCTTCGCGCTGCGAAAGGCGCAAAGGGAAAGAAGGTTATCAGAGAAGAGAGACGTGCGGCTCGAGCTGGTAGTTGTGAGTCCAACCCCATTTCGAAGCTTTAGAGTTCGGTTCTTTGCATTAAAATTGGGCAACAAAGATGCTAATCGTTTCCGCAGCTATAGCTCAAGGCTCTTCTTCTTCTTCTGCAGCGGGTCCATCATTCGGTGCCGCGACTGCTGACTTCTCGGCGCAGCAACAACTGGTGTTTCGTCCTCGAGGTACATCTGGTTCTCTTTAATACTCGCTTCTTGACTCGCCAAACCTTTTAATTGACTCAATATGCTAACTGCACTTTCTAAATAGTTACCGCCACCAATCCTGCTGCATCAACCCTTGCTGCTAGTGCTGCTTCTGGCGGCTTTGC